AAAATTATAATATACGTTAACTTGAATAGATAAATAATTGTATAACTTTAAAACATTGTATATATATATATATATATATATTAAAATTATTAAATTTTTAATGGGAGAGACTAAAATCACACAATTATGATATTTGAGGGACTAAAATTGTTTAATTAAAAATTAAAGGACCAAAATCGCACAATTGCAATCTTTAAGGGACTAAAATTATCCAGTTAAAAACATTAGGGATCAAAATTGCACAATTGCAATACGTGAATGATAAAAAACGCAATTAAGCCAAAGAAAATTTGTGAATGTTTAAAATTTTTATAGAATATTTATGATTTTTAAGATTTTATAGGATTTCATAAGATTTTAAATTAGGATTATAATGAATTCTGCAAGACTTTTAAGTAAGGATTTCAAATGGATTTTATGGGACTTTGTGAACTTTGCAAAATTTTGTGAATTTTTAACATACGATAAGAGTTCAATATTTTTTTTCATATATTCAGATTTAAAAAGAGTAAAAAACAAAAATAATAAAAAGAAACCAATAATATTTGGATAAATAATAATAATAATAATAATTCTCCGTAATATCATATTCTCCTAAATTGCATTTACCCATATATCCATAGTTATACTAATCCTCCAAGCATTAACATTTTTTCGCTCTTACTCCCAGGTTTGAATAATAGACTCACAATTATGATTTTTATTAATTGGTAATGTTGAAGATAAAGGTTCATCAACTGCTCCAATTGAAAATTCATTAGAACGATATTCTTTACGAAGAAAGTTATGTAGACCTACACATGCTAAAAATTATTCTAAACAATATTTCAAATTTGTTATAATTTATTATTTAAAATTTTATTTATAAATGATTAAAAAAATAGTGAGACAATTGTCTTACTCTCTTATAACTAAATATGTCTCTACATTTTATATCAGTATTTGAGTGAAAGTTTGTTTTTCATGCACTTTTATTCATTTAAAATATCTTAGAAATTTACAAACATCAACTAGGAGAAGAAAAAATATATTTGAAATTTGTTACAGGTACAATTTTTTTTTTAAATTTTAATTACTTTCAATTATTCACTCACGAAGAATTAATATTAAATTCTAAGATACTGCAATATCTTATAATAATTTTCTTTTTTTAAAATATAAAATTTTTAATTTCACAATATAAAAATTAAAAAAAATTATAATAAAAAGTAATAAAATAATTGTTGAGTCATAAAAGAAGAATGGATAATAATAACAAATTCAAGGAAGGGAGAGAGATTGTAGTTTTTATGTTAAGAGAGTTCTTCCCTCAACTTATTCTACTCACAGAAATCCAAACTCAAATTCATCTTTTATATATATATTATTTTAATAAATATAAATTAATTACAAGATCTTAAAGATCTACAATTGATTGTAGAGATCAATTTTAGTTTTCATTTTTCCCTTTTTTGATGCGTGTTATAAAAAAATTACTACTTAAAAGTTAAAATTTCAAACGTTTTCTGTGTTATATATCTTAGGAACAAACTCAACTAAATAGAACAAGTCAATTAAAAAAGACGGAGAAAAGAATAAAACAAGTCAATAACATTATCATTTGTGTACTGAAATTTCACTAAATAGGAGAATGAAATGAAAATAATAGTACAATATTATATATGAACAATAGTGCAATATTATTAACAGACAAAAAAATGGAAAAGACATAAGCATAAAAAAAATAAAAAAATGAAAAAATCCTTGAAACACTTAAAAAGTCACTTCAAACAATCTTCTAAAAATCTGATTGGTTTAGATGAGATTGTTTTATGAATTTGGTATTTATAGATATCACTAAAAAACCTTTCAAAACTCTTCTAATACAACAATCTTTTAAAATCTTTACATTTTTTAATACTAATGAATTATTTTTAAGTTGTAAAAAATTTCAAATAAATACCAATAAATTTTAATAAACTCTTTAAAAAAATTTAAAATTCAGATTAAATATTACTAGATTGTTTTTAAGTGATATAAAATTTTAATTAAATACTAATGAACTTTTTTACTTTAGAAAAATCTTTTAAAATTCTATGAAATCCTAAACCAATACACCCGTAAGAAAAGTTGCATGTATTTATCAGTTATATACTCTATAGTCAATAAACGAATGTATATGCATTCAAAAACAAGTTTTTGGAAGAGCATGTTTCTTACCCCCAACAATGATAAATGAAATTCTGTTCTCCAAAAATTTCATGCGCGTTGCACTTATTGATCAAGCAAAACAATAAATAATTAAAAAATTAAAAGTGTACGACACTGTCCTGATTATCAATATTCTGAATAATCAAATAAAAAAAAAGAAAAACATATGAAACTGAAGAAACAAGCAACATACATGGGAAATCAAAAATCCCAAAAGCACTGAATATCTCACAATGCAATTAAAAGCCATCCCAAACTGGTAACTACCAATTTTCCCCACCACCCAGAAAAAAAAATGGCACAGGAAATAAACTATCTATGGGATCTTCATTCCAAGTGGCTGAGGAAATCAAAATATGAGGCACTCAAACAGACTCAAACCTTTATTATATATAATAAATATGCTGGATAGAAGAAATAAGGATTGTTGGGAGATAAAGCTAAGAAATAAAACAATTGCCACGGTCATTACAAGCTGATTGAGAATTTGACTAAGGTATACCACCTTGCTATATAACATCATCAGTTACCGGCATCTCGGCTGTAGAACTGATCAAGAGTTTTTGCAGGAATACGATGAAGAAGCTCGCGAGGGAAAATCCGCAGCAAAGTCCATGCAAGATCTAGTGACTGGAAGATATTGCGTGTATCATAAGCTCCTTGTGCAACAAACTTCCTCTCAAACTTCTCCAAAAATTCCAAATACAGCTGTTGATCAAAAAGAATAAACTTAGTTAGTACCATCACCATTCACCACTTCAAGGACAATCTCACTGTACTCAAACAAGAATATCCCAAAAGAAAAATGGTAGAGACCAGATCCTCAGACGAAAGTGCTTCTTCTCCGACCACGGCTTTCATTGCCTGGACATCCTTTCCAATGGCATAATTTGCATAGAGCTGAAAAGAAACAAAATAACACCAATGAGATGGTTTACAAACAAAAAATAGCAATGTGAATGCACTAAACAAGCAAAGCAAAACCAGACCTGGTTGGAGACATCAGCATGATCCCTTCGCGTCATTCCCTCACCAATGGCACTCTGCAGAGGCAACCTCATCACTCACATTTTGAACCAACAAGGGTAATGTTGCTTTAACCAAGTAAAAATAGCCATAATTTTTTAGTGATTGTTGGATGCAATCCAGTGGTAGGGATCACTCACCCCATCCAAGAGTTTCAGTTAATATTTCAGTTGATGGAATTTTGACATCAAACAGACAAGATTAAGCTCACCTTCATCAAACGAGACAATGATGGAAGAACATTGATTGGTGGATATATC